TGACTTGACCCTGTCCTTGTTCTTTTTCCCCTCTTCTCTCTCAGGGATTGGCAGCACACGGCAGCTGTATCAGTCTGCGCTGCTGTCACTGCCCACTCAGTCACGTTAAAGTAGAAGCTAGTATTAAAGGGATTACAGTCCCTCTTGCTTCATGGGTTACTAAGGTCCCCCTGCCCTGTTTTGTTTGTAAATCCAACGAGCCTTCCTTGGGAGCAGCCTGAGGTGCCTGTATGTCTGCCCATCAGTCCGTCCAAAAGAGCAGACAGACAGGGGAGAGAGAGTTAGACGGGCTCGTCTGGATCCAGTCCTGGCCAGGGTCTGAGGAGGGCCCTGCAATGCGGCGAGAGCGACAGAACCATCGGTTGTGTGTCTGTCTCTCGAGGTTTAACGGTTCTACTCTCGTCTGACGTTGCTGGACGGGATGAATCCTGTCTCCCTCCCCCCTCAGCCCCTCCCTATTAACAAGGACTGATCGGGGGGACTGACTACCTATGTTAATACAGCATGACGGGGGTAAGTACTTCACCACCCCTTTCTCTTAACTCCTCCATAAGCTCAATAGAAATTCAGGTACTTTCATCCTGCTCATACACAAGTCAAGGAACAGCAGTTTTATGTTGGCTCATCATCATTCCTTTCATGCACAAGTTAATGGTGGATTATCTTCCCTCTGTAATGACGATGGGGAAAGGGTACTTAACAAACAGCAGTGCTGTCAGAGCCCCATGTCTCTGTAATAAGAAACAGACTCTTGTCTTCACACATTTTGAACTGTTCATACGTCGGTGTGAAGTTCATGACACCGAAACATTGTCTCTGTACACCTCAAAGATATGCTGACTACATTGCAAGTGAGCATGAAAACCTTACTTCAAATTCAGTGTATAGGATTTCAATCAGTTACAGTGGTGATTAACTTAAATCACTCTTTGGATGTCTGATAAAGCAGGCAAGTAGTCAAGACTTTGCTCAATTTCTATCCTCAAAAAAGAAGAAAAAAATCTTCGTCTAGCAGCTTTTTTTCTCCTCCTTGCTCTAAAATTGATTGCTCTTTATCCATAAAGATGTGGAAGATGTCAAGTTTGTCATCAACTATGACTATCCCAACTCCTCTGAGGACTACGTGCATCGTATTGGACGTACTGCACGCAGTACAAACAAGGGCACTGCGTACACCTTCTTCACCCCAGGGAACCTGCGGCAGGCCAGAGACCTTGTTCGGGTGTTGGCTGAGGCACGGCAGGCCATCAACCCCAAACTGCTTCAGCTTGTTGATTCAGGGCGTGGAGGAGGAGGGGGTAAGAGGATTTTCACAATCAATCATATCAGGATATATTCATTTTTTTTAAATGGAAAAGTGTGGTTGAAAACAGTTTTTAGTTTATTCTGATTTTTAATTTGATGTTCATCACAGGCGGCAGAATGCGTTACCGTGGCAGCAGCTCCAACAACCCTAACCTCATGTACCAGGATGAGTGTGACAGCCGCATGCGCGCCGGTGGTGGTAGCAACAGTAAAGACAGCCGCAGTGGCTTCAGCCGTGATAGTCGCAACAACCGCGATGGAGAGCGCTCGTCTTCTTCCTACAGGGACAGAAGCCGAGATCGCAAGGATAGCTACAACTCTGGCTCAGATCAGTACCAGAGCTACAGCAGAGGCGGGGGCTACAACTCCCGCAGCGGAGGCCAGTCTGGTGGAGGTCGGGAGCAGTCTAACCAGCTGCAGGGTTCATTTGTCCAGCCTCCTCCTGCCCCTCCATTATCAGGGGGGCCACAGCCTCTGATGGCTCAGCAGTTTTCTCCAACACAGCCGCCGCTCATGGGCTTCATAGGGCAACCGCCTTATGCCTTTTCCTCCCCACCACCTCCTTCAGGAGCTCCAGCTCCTCGGAAGTAAAATTATAAGATACAAGTACTGAGTTCATTTGCAGTACTTGTATTTAATTGTTTTGGCAATGTTATTGTTTTGTCACATCTCCAAGAGTCAGGGGTTTGATATGGCATTTATCTAAGCAGCTAAGGGCTTATATATATATATTTTCTTCTTCTTTGTAAAACACCTTTTACATGTAGATTTGAAATGTTCTTCAAATATTGAACTCTTCCCAATGATTTTTCAACCTGGATTGTCACTCTCTAATGAACAGTGTCTCTCTATAGTGTAACATGGAGGAACAAGTCCCTTGAGTTTTCATATCAGTAAAATAGTGCATTTTAAGCTGTGTTGTTCATCAGCCGTGGGAAGATCTGGCTAGAATGAAAAGTGGCTCACTCTGAGACCCTCCGTGGTACATGTTGGAGAGGACTGGTCGTGCCATCACATTCCACAGTTATGTCTTGTTTCACTTTTATCACCAAAATAATAATCCTTCGACTCTTATTGTTTGGTTTTGATGAGCTACATAATCTAATTAGTGTAATGATTTTTGATTCAGTGTCATCATAAGCACTGAAGAAACGATCTCAGTTACAGTATGGGTATTGTTCTCTAGCTTTGATATCATTGCATATAAATCTTCATTTGTTTTCTTGTGTTCTGGACTCCAGCATTATTTAGGTATAGTTTGTAATGCTTGCCCGTATGTCTTCCTATCCTGTAGTAACTAATATCTTTTTATACACTTGTAACTACTCACATATCCTTCTACTACACCGATCAGTTTGTTCACACATTTTCATTTTGGGCTGAATTTTGATGCCTGTGTCCTTTTCCTTCCATTGTGATCTTTTTCTGATGTTTGCTTCATGAATAAATGGATGACTGTTAAATGATATGACAATGATAAACTCATTTATACATCAAAGTCATTTCCTGGTCAATTTTATTTATTTGCTTCAATGCACTTTTGAACATTCTCAACTTGTACCAAGCAGTATATATATACATTATGCATTTATTCTATTGGTAGTAGGTACATATACATTATGTATATGTGCTAATCTATGACAAGATGAATTTATTTACAGATGTGGCACAAATATTTCTACAGAAATACATCTGTGTAGGCTTGTTACACCAACTTGTTCTGCTGTACCAGTTGTGTATCGATCCTTAATCAATTTGGCGTTGACATTTCTTATTTTGAGTTTCCTTAGTCGTTTTATATGCTGTCACAGGGTTGTGACAGCATTGCATGCAAAGGGCTCGGTCATGTTTGTGTGACTTTGTGTGAAGGGTTCCCAAGAATAGATATTTGTATCTGTGATATACGTTGGAAACGTTGCTCGGAAATAACTTTCAGCTTTGAAGCAAAACCTCAAGAATGACGGGGATCAGAAAGCGAATAATATGCCTACCAGACATAATTCACCTGCTGCATAAAGTTTCAGGTGTTTACGTTATTGTATTGGCGCTGGGACCAGTGCATTACTGATAGTTTGACTCAGGGTCAGTCAGTGTAGACAGGAATGACAAAGCCGAGATGACGTTCAAAACAAAAAGATACAAGCTCGGTCATCGTCATCCCCATGTGTCTTCTGAAGGTAACATCCTACTGTGAGGATTGTATTGTGGAGGGGCTGGTGGCTGACAGTTCTTTTATCAATGATTAGGAAAATGTTAATATATAAATATGAATGTAATTCTGTCAAACTTGTCACAGATCACTCAATGCATAGTTTACAATACGTCACGCTGGAGTGCAAAACGTGAAATATTTACACTTGAGACATGAAGTTATAGAAGATGGTTACTGAGGCTATTGTCAAATTATTGCTTTTGTACTCACAGACATGGACAAGGTAACCGCTTAACTATTTGTAAATAAATACAAGCTCATCTCGATGGAAATTAAATGGCTGATTTATAGCACAACCCTGTTTCTAAAAAAGTTGGGACGCTGTGTGAATTTCTCCTCACTTCCCCAAAGCTAACAGTGTTGTGTTGTTAAAAGAAAAGGTGATGCTGCAGAGTGGTAGAAAATAACCCTGTCCTGACTTTTTTTTGAGACATGCTGCTGGCATTCAAATACAGGGTTTCACTGTTTGGCAAGTCATCACATTCTATTTGCATTTTACATTGTGTGCCAATTTTTGGAAACAGGGTTGTATTGTAAAGCAGCTCATGAGAATGATACATAGCACTGTGTGATGCTGTCTACCACTGAAGATTAAACATCTGCATTTGTGCGGAACAGTCCATAATGCTCCAGAGGGCTTTTTCTTCAAATGCATCCCTCATTACATTATAGACCATATATTCAGCTCTCCACATATTGTAGCGACACACACGTCGAGTCTCGTGTGTATCAGAAGCACAAGTCTCATGTGGAACCAGTCTGCCACCAATCACGTTTTATTTTGGTCTTTATGGTTCTAACAAGTGACTGAAGATTCATGCTCTAAACAACTCAATGGCCATTGACATGAGGAGGATTCTGGAACATCGTCTGATGTGTCATTAGTCCTTTCTGAGAAGGAGCTCAACATATGAAAACAGAAACAAAGATCAAACTAATCATTTGTATACATATATACATAGCGAGAAAATCTTAAATTTCATCCCAGGCACATGTGGTAGAATCAATCGGGATGCCAGCAGTGTCACCCACGGACTTCAGATGTCCCTCTTTGGGGTCAATAAATAGTAAAAAGGTGACAAAGAAAAACAGACAATGTATTGTAAAAAGTGAAGGTGCACAATTTAAACAAAGGAAGTGCATGTAAGTTGTGTAAAAGAACTCAAATCAAAATCCTGAGTGAAAAAATTACAAAAAAAAAAAAAGAAAAAAAAAAGGGTCCCATTCATGAAAGGACAAAGGAAAGTGCTGCAATTGAATTATTTTCATATCATTGAAATTTAGCAGGGGCAGAGAGAGATTTAGTCCCATCTTCACAGCCTTTTCCCACAGAGCAACAGAATGACGTGTAAGAAAAGCACAGGTGTAAATAATGACATAAATGATGGCTGGATTCTAGTTAGCTGCTTCAGTTTGAGGGTCCTGGTATTCATGGGTCATGGCTGGCGTACTGTCACATTTAAAGAGAACATCGTTAGTATTCATGATGTCAATTAACACGTGTGCTTTTTTTTTTTTTTTACAAAGACAAGTCAAAATGTTTGCTGTGGGAAAAGTCTTGCCACAGCTTAGAAACACACATTGGCCAATAATTACTTTCCAAAACATGACACAAATTAAAAAAAAAAAAAAGGTACCGGTTCATCCTGTATGCAACCCGGAAACAGGAAGCTTGGTTCTGTAAATGCTTTTCTGTTTATAACATTTTAACTTACTCCATTTCATAAAAGGGAAAAAACGTTTCAATGATTTCAAAGTGTTGACAATAACATGAAGTTTCATAGTGTTCCTCTGTGTGTGACAAAAAAACAAACAGTTTCCGTAGTGGGGTATAGCGGAGGTTGTTGCTGGTTATTCAGCATGATGTCATCTTCATATTACATTTACTGAACTTATTCAACAATGAGCCAGTTTGTCAATTCATGATTTGATAGGAAATGAATTCCAAATCTGATAATCATGTTATTTATCAGGTAGAAACATAAACCACTTCATATCATGGATTGAATACATGCGCTATTGGCCAAACTGTAAACAGGTTTAAGAGATCCCTTCAAGCCTGTAACTGGCTTTAAGTTTGATTTATTTACAGACTGAAAGAAAAGAATGATCTGTTGCACCCCTACTCCAAACACTCCCTGGCTGACAAACTATCTCTGAACGTGGGATGTTTTTTTTTTAAATATATATAAAAGCAGAAACAATGTATGACACCAGCTGTAACTTTCAGACACATTCAGGTTTTTCTTTTTTTAAAGGCTCAACTTTTCCGTATGGTTCACTGCATCCAATAGAATTAACCGACAGTCTGCTCTAAAGTGTGTGTTGAACTGATTGTTTGAAGAAGAAAAAGTAGCCGTGGGACACAGAAACACAGAGATGATTGATTAAGGACAGGAAGGCACAAGGTAGAAGGTGGCTCCCACAACAGCTCTCTTGTCAGTTTGTTATTAAACTGGGGGGGGGGGGGGCTGTCTAGCCATCAAGCCAGCAACAAGGGACAACTTCAACTTAAATTGAAAGGAAACAGCAGCGGATCAGATGACAGCGGCCTGGTCTTTCCTACTAAAGGTTCCCCCAGGTGTTTGGAGGTGGGAACTGATCCACATCGCCAGATTCATCGTGAGAGGTTTCCCCTAGTTTGAATGTCAGCTTGTACCGTAAACGCACTTTTTCCTGAAACAAAAAAAAAAAAAAAAAAAAAAAAAAAGAGGAGAAAGGTCAGTTCAGTGTTCCATCAAAAGAATCAGTTTCTGCATGAATAAACCAGGAGAGTTTCTCATTAAACAGCACTTGGATGAATGAATCCTAAATGTGTATATCATGTTGAATGCATCTTCCTTCAATAATAAAGATTTTTGTATTTATATGTTTTAAATCATATTTTATGTTTAAGGTGGTTTGCATGTTATTGCTACGAAGTATTGATTAGCAAACAAACTGCACCACAGAGCTAAAAGTAGTTAAATCAAGTACATTTCATTTATTAGATCACTATTCATCAGTAAGTTAATTAAATAAGTCTATATCAACCCCATATGTCATATCTGTTTACTTAACTATGGGAGCATGTATCATTCACATGACAAAATAAAAATCTGCTGTTTCTCTGCAATGGAAATTCATCTGGTAGCTGGAGAGGTGCCCGTTCAATTCCTGAGCACTGCCGGTGAGCCCTTGAGCAAGGCACTGCACCACCACCACCACCCTACCAGTTCAGTCGCGCTTACTGTGGACAGCCCCCACCCTCTGACATCTCTCCATTAGTGCACGTCCATAGAACCCTGATTGTGTGTGATTTCAGCCTGTGTGTGATTTCAGCCTGTGTGTGTGGCATGTCTCAATAACAGAGTGTCAAATTGAATTTCCCCTTGCGGGATTAACAAAGCATATATTTTTCTTCTTCTTCATTGGGAAGATAATTCTCTCAGGATTATGGGTAAGTCTTTTATGAAAAATAATTCAATGAAAAACAAAAACTCTAAGGCCACTTAAAGTAGCAAAACATTCTCCGACTATTACATGTTTACAGTTACCTGTAACAGTTTTATTTTGACACACAGAGATACTTGTGTCTTTGCGCAGGCGGCTTAGATCTATGCAGTTCAGACGCTAAACGCCCACTCTGCTCTCTCAGGATCATCGTTGTCGAGAAGACATGCTTCACTGATACAACGTGATGCCTCTGAAATGCAGTCAGGCTCGCTACGTGGCGATGCAAGAGACAAACGGCTAATTGCTGAAAATACTGGATCCCCCACAGAGTTCAACTGAACCTCTCTGGTGTGGTTCCCGTGACTCCCACAGAAGTATCTCTTAAACAGTGCAGATTTTTCATTTTCATAAAAATGTAAGCCGTAATTCTAAAGATAATTATCTCATTATTCGGAAAAAGAGCAGATTTCTACTTACATACTTAACATCGTAATAATGTATATTGTATATTAAGTATTAGCTCTCAAAAAAAATAGCTCATCACTATATATCCCTGTCAGCAAGTTATAAAAGTAACAAATGTACTGTTTCAAAATGTACTGAATAGTTATGTAAAGAAACTTTCAATTCAAGATGAGACACGACATGATACTGTTTTATCAGGGTTTTCTTATTTCTATAATGAAATTAAAGCTAAATATCCTTTTCCAGTTTTTTTAATTAACAATAGTAATATTTTGAATTTGTAGAGTTAAAACAATGCAGATATTTTCTTTAATAACTGGCTCCCACGTGTTAAATCCTGAAAACACCCATGATCTTGACTCGTTTGGACGAGGGGGGTTACAGACATGTTTTAAGTGTCTCAAGCTTGTCAATGCAGCGATGTCTTACACACTGCATCATGTTGGTTGTGTTGTTCAGCAGCTCAGTAGTTCAGAGTATTGCATTACATGTTTTGTCCAATCAATTTGAATTGTCCCTTATTTGTATTGCGAGATATCGTTACATACCCAGTACTCAAGGATCGCGTTTCGGTCTCAAGATTTCTGAGGTCTTCCTAATTTCCTACACTGCCACCGCAAACCGCGGCTGACTCTGAATCAGAAGATGAGAAGTGGGTGGAATAGTACCTTGTGAGGGTTAGCCAACAGCAGAATCTGAGTGATGGCTGCTGGAGGCAGGATGGGATTGAAGGCTGGGAGCTCAGTGCTAGAGGGAGGCTGCAGCTTTACTTTCATCACCTATGATACAAAGACACATAAAACATTTTAACAGATGATGTCAGCTTGAAATATATTCTGACAGAATGTTAAGGTGGCTAAAATGACTTGTAGGACTAAACAAGAGATGTTTCAGCTATGCAATGGTGTCTCTTTGCTGACTTTAGCAGAGAAACATGAGCCTACCTTTGGCACTGCTGCCTGAAAGCGGATGTTTGTTGCAGGAATGGGAGCTGAGGACAGCATGGAGATGATCACCACTAGCACTTCCGGCCGGGATGGAGGACAATCACGGGCAAAGGTGAACAAAACCCGGAGACTGTGTTTGTCGAGTACAGTAACTGGTAATAAGCTGCCTAAAACAATTTGCAGAGAAAAGGGAAAGAAAATAGAATGTGATGTAAAGTAAGAAATAGAGAATTAAAAATACAACCACACATGTTGGGTCTAGTACTATTGCTTATGCTTACTTGGTTTGATTGTTTCAAGAGGCACAGTAACATCAGCTAAAGAGATGTTGTCATAGGGATCAGCAGGAGCCAGTGAGATTTTCTCAGCAGCTATGAGACTGAGATTGGAGAGGAGGAGGGTGTCAGGCTGCTCTGATTGGACAGCATGGGTGGACATTAGCCCCGGAGCAGCAGCGGGACCAGAGGAGTTGGTGTTTGCATTAGGAGCAGTTCTAGAGCTGGATTTCTGCAGATCTCGTAAGGTGACTCTGGATTGAGTTTGGAGTTTATCCCTGCATGTAGAAAAACACAAAGCGCTTTGAGTAGTCAGAAGACTAGAAAAGCGCTGTACAAGCTCTCGGGTAACAAATCAGAGCTGTGAAGGGAAAGTGCAAGTTTTAGGTTGTTCACTATCCACATCCTCCAGAATTTTTACCATTTGACCTGCTGGCTCTCTGGAGGTAGAGACTGCTGTAACAACATCTTCCCCAACATGTCCAAATCTTCAATGGGTTTACTAGGAGCAATGGGGCCCCCTACTGGTGGAGGATGAAGTGTTTGGACTACGGCTGGGAGCAATACCGCAGCAGGCAGCGATGCAGCAGATGATTCTGTGCTATCAGAGGACTGAGAGAACAAAGAGTTCAGGTTTTCATGTCAAACAGTGTATAAATAAGTGATGGAAAATGCCTTGATGGAATCATGAAAAAAGTCTCAGTATTACCATAGCATCACATTTTAATTGGGTTATATTTTAAAGGGATGTAGAGGGATGTGTTTCTTTGTTTTAAAAAACAGTGTTCTAACAATATGTAACCAAGAGTCACCAAAGTAAGAAATCACAAAAACCGACATACAGTGGCTTTTTCTTTTTAAGAAGAAAAGTGTTATCTTACAACTTGCACCTGAAAGGTGTTCTGGAAGTCACAGTTTTCCGTTGCATTCAGGCCTAAAAGACAAGTAGAAATAAAGGTCAATTCAATTTCATCCCAATATTGAAACATTTTAAAACATTATAAAATATAGTGCTATTCAAAAACTCTATCAAACATACCCTGATCACAATATAACATTTAAAGAATCCTTTGCTCCTCTCAAAGTCAGATCTTTAGCTCAATAAAGAACGGCTATGACCGTATGCAGCTTTGTTGTGGTTTGGCCAGATGTGGCCTGCCTCTGAGGATGACGGGTTTCAGACAGCTAACCAGTAGGAGGGCCAATGGAAACAAAGTGTAACTGTGCAGAGTCGACTGTGCTGCGCTTAGATTGCTGACTCGTGATTACTAGCTCATTAAATGGTTACGAGTGGTAATCTACCATTATGTTTACAAGCCATATGAGTTTTTGTGCTTACCCAGCGACATGAGCTCATCATCCAGGAGGCTGATGCCCATGTTCTGAGTCAGGGTCTGTAGGCTGGACGGCTCAGGGTTGGATGCTTCTGTGCTGGCTGATGCATTGAGCCCCATCAGGTCGACAAGAGCTGAGCTGCTGCTGGCTGATTTGGACAGAGAATTCAGATCTGTGATCATACAGTCTTCACAAATTCATCAAGATTAGTAAAAACATTAAGGGATGCCTAGAAAAACTTTTGATCGCTGAGCTGGAAAACAAACACATGCACTTACCAGGTTGTGAGGCTGTGCTGATGCAGTCTTTTGTCACATCCTCTCCCTTTACCAGCTGTCTGTACAGGTTGATGACCTGCGTCAGGCTGTCATTGGCCTGTAAAATGTCCGCTGTGAGCAGAAAAGCAGCTCATTAACAACATTTAATCATTTTTTTGTATTTTAAGTTTTTGGAATCTTTAGAATAAGCCTTATTACATAAAATGTGTTCAGAACAAGTGACTTCTTAAATCTTTTATTCGACCTTCTATACTATAGTGTACTAATAATCCATGACATCAGCAAACATACCAAGGGCTTCATCACTGTCCTCAGTATCACTTGCTAGTCGGAATAGTGTAGGTCTCATCTTTTCACAGCGCTGGTAAAGATCCTACAATCAGATACACGTTAAAAAAAAAAAAACAGAAAAACTACCACTCAGGTTGATAAAACTGTAGGTGCAGCTAGTTTGACTGTGCTCACTTTAATAAGCTCCTGGTTGCTCTGGGAGCAGCTCTCCTTGCTGTAGCCCTCCAGCAGCTGGCTCAGCAGGCTCACACTCTCCTTCACCTCCTGGATGGCGTTGACCCGCTTTGACACTTTCTCCACACGCTTTTGGTCCTGGGAAGAGTGAGAACATCTCATTAGATTTTTTTTTTTTTTTTTAAATGCAGTTTTTAGTTCTTGACAGATTATTTTTAGCCGTGTTTAATATTGACACAATAATGGGATAGTAAATAAAATCCAATTACAGGTTACGATTATATTGATCACAGTAAATATTAAGAAATGTGAAGGTTGGCTGAGTTTTTTTTTTCATTATTTAAACTAGAAAAGGCATGTAAATGATGACATTAGGTAATATTTCCCTTTACTATTAAATATGATTTGAAGTACACAGAGGATTAGGGGCGGCAGTAGCTCAGTCTGTAGGGACTTGGGTTGGAAACCGGAGGGTCGCCAGTTCAAGTATTGGTGCGGACCAAAACATACGGAAGTTGTTCTGGTAGCTGGAGAGGTGCCAGAGCACTTGAGCCCTTGAGCAAGGCACCTTAAACCCAACCGCTCTAATGCACTCCCTGTGTAGCAGTGTGTAGCAGCCCCACTCCGTCATACTGTATTTCACTAATGCATGTCCACAGGTCCTGTTTGTGCATGTGTGTGAGAAGCATGTCTTAAAAATATCAGAGTGTAAACCAGAATTTCCCTCAGGGATTAATAAAGTATTTCAAAACCAAAAAAAAAAAAAAATGAAATTAGGCCACTGAGTTTTTTGGCTGGCCATTTGTTTTCTAGAATACTGAGTTTAAAGTCAGAAATCTTTCTGCGTGTATTCATCAGGATTTCACATACATTCATCTGGATTGTATTTTGTAAAAGAAGTGGCTAAAATAAGGCACTCATGCATGTGGGGGACACATATCGTACAGCACAGTTAGTAAACAAATTCTAATGACGCACCTCCTGGACCATTTCCTTAATGAGCTTGTTTGCTGCTCTTAAATCTTCAGGGTGAGTGCTGTTCAATAAGCGAGACAGCATCTACAAAAACAGGATAGGACAGAAGAGGGCAAGGAAAGGAAAGAGGAAGAGAACTTCGTAAACTGTTGGTAGCAAAATGATTTTTCCTGGAAGCACGTTGCATGATGAGTACAAAAGGTTTTATGAATCAAAGAATGATTTTGATAGGACACACAGGTCCTTACTTCAACAAACTTTTTCAAAGGGATTGGTGCATCTTCTTTATCAACTATACTGTACATCATACCTTGGATTTCTCTTCATCTTCAAAGACGGCACTTTTGGCTCTGGCTGGAGGCGGTGGGGCAGGCTTGTCCTCAGGAAGCACAGGATCCAGCTTGACAATGCCTGGAAGAAAACAAGGACACCTATTAACCTCACATGTAAACAGAATAGATCCTCTGTATATATTTTGACTGTATGTATTTTTCAGTTGAAAAAAAAAGTGTCCCCTCTGTCCAAGAGCATTTCATCCTGGTGCTACAACATTGTACTTATATTATTTTGTACAAGTGTTAGCATCAAAGTACAACACAAACAGATAAGAAGGACACACCACACCACCACAGTACAGACTACTTGTATATCATTTTAGGCAATAATATTAAACCTGGTGGAGACTGCATTTCAAAGAACACACAAGGTTCACCTTTCAAGCCTGATTGTCTGTCTCATGCTTTTGCTCATCACTATGAAGGGGAAATTGATACTACCTTTTAAAAAACACTATTTATTTAAATGAAATATCAGGAACCGAAACAAAAAATGGAAACAACACATTCATTAATACATGTATAGAACAACAAAGCAAGCAGTGACTATGAAGAAAATGAGAAACCTTAAGTTAAAAGACTAGTAGGGAACTTGTCAAGGACATGCATCTTGTTGGTTAGTCACATTCTCGAGCTTGTGAAGTGGCTCACCCTGTTTTTTCAGCATCTGATAGGCTTCTGCTATCTTGGTCTCATCTGGTAGGCTCACTGTCCAGCTGTACACAATTTCTAACACCTTCTTCTTCACTGGCTCTGGAGCCCGAGTGCCCAAATACTGCAGAGGAAAGGGTTTAAGCATTCATAACTACATGAAGACACTGACAGCGGGCCTTACATTTAGTTTCATCAGCTTAACCCACAAAGTTTGTAAAGTCATTTCAAGGCTGCGTTGAGTGGTTAAAATGTGTTCCAATTGTTGTCCAAAGGTTAGGGTGATATGGTATGACTGCATGAATTACAGGGATCATTACCTTTGGTGAGACCACCTTGATGAGCTCATTGAGAAAGCGAAACTTTCCCACTTCAGTGTGAAATCGCTTTCCACAGTTTTTCATGCACGTCTCAAGAACCTGCGAAGAGTTCAAAGTTTGTTTTTTTTGTGTGTTTTTTTCACCTTTGTTAAGATAAGCCTTCCCATTAAAACACCTGCACTGGAAAAATACTGGCAAGTGGCCTTTTCTAAGAAGGCATTCATATGCATTTAATTTGTTAAAACATAGAACATACACATCTGCGCCTTGGAACTGAGATTTTGAAAAAGCCATGTGGGTCAATCATTTACCGTAAGTGCCTGCATAGCCTCCCACTCCTGGGGAGACTGGATTTTATGGGCCAGCAGTCTGGTTGCAAGCTGGGGACTGTTGGACGGAAACTAAGTTTAGATTTCACTTCACCATTAGACAATATCTTTCATTAAATCAACTTAAATTTGATGGAAGGAAACTGATAATTTTTCAATGCAGGAGGAAAAACAACCATGATGTTCAAGAAACACAAGAGTAGTTAGACATTCATGGTATTACACTACATAGCTTATTTGATGACATGCATTAAAGAAAGCTGTTAAAAAAAACAAAAAAAAAACATAGAATTAAATAAAAGGTCAACATGTTGCACTGATTTTTTTTCTGCATTTTGCTACACAGAAACACAACTACTGCTTCAGAAATAGTGTGGTTTTCTTCTTCTTCTTCTTCTTCATCATCAGCTCACCCTTCTGGGTCATTGTTAAGATGATCACAAAACCCCTGGATGATGTCCCAGTCAGTCGCCTTGTTCAAAGGATTGGTGGCCTTGTCTGTGTGAGAGGAAAAACTCATTGGACTTACTCCAGCATTTGAACTAATCAAACAGCTTGTGCAGCAAGTGACTTCTGTCTCCTTTACCTTACACTTGCCAAAAACAAAGCTAAATACAAGTGTCTTAACAGCCTCGGTTTAGGATTGCTCTGTATACATGTGTCACAGGAGGACATCACAGCTCCACATCTGAGAGTTAAATCAAACAACTTGAATCTTTGTCTGTAACATATATCTGTTTATGTAAACTACATCAGCTCGCTTGTTGGCAGCACATCAATGCAGTCGTTCATGATTTTAGAAACAAACGCTGTGACTGTCTCTAAATGAAATGGGAAGTACTGTAAGGTTCCTGTTTTGTCTTGAAGTGGCTTGTCATGGTCCTTCAGGAGCTAACAGGCTAGTTGGTGTTGCTAAGCGTTCATCTGGACATTACGAGCATTTTAACACTGAGATGACATATTACATATTATCAGGGAAGCCTCACTAAACTAAAACTGACGACGAAAGAGCCCGTGTGAGATCGTTATCATAGCAAAAGGTAATAAATGATGTAGCCGAGTCTGATCCCTCTCGACATCTGTACTTTTCATTTCATGTCATTCTCTTCACTCCCAAAAGAAATCTACTCCCAAAGGAGAGCATAATGAACGACAGCGGCAATATCTCCATGTCCTTTAGAAGGCTTTCCGGCCATTGCTCCACGCCTCAAACCTTAATGTTTTATTTTAAAGTAACATGACTTACTGATGCGAGACTGCAGGCTAGCCTCGTCTGGAGGCGCCGCCGCCATCTTTCGGGAATTCTAAACAAGTGGCAACTTCCGCGTGATCTTTGTAACATATCGCGAGGTTTCCCTTTTTTGTTTGCCAAAAGCTCTGTCGCTCCCCCCGATGGAGCATGAATCAGTGTTGCCAGGTCCGCTTGTTATAAGCGACTTCGGGCTTGTTTTCCTGTAAAGTCGCTTGCAAATGTCGTCAGTCGCGGGTTTTTGGGGCTTGTTTTCTAAAGTGCAGTTGCTTGTTTGGGCTTGTTTTGCTCCCTACTGATTCACTCACAACTCTCCACAATAAAGCCAAACACGATCGCGATAGTTTCCGTCCACAACCCCCGTTTCCTTGGTTAGCCCGCCCGCCCCGATCTGGTGACCTCTCTTTTAAACTGCGTGGTGTGTTAGGTAAACTTCATTTTATATATTATGAAGGAGCCAGGTGTGCTTGTTTTTTTGGGGGGAGAGGGGGGCTTGTTTCCATAGAGCTGGTTGCTTTGTTTCTCTCGCGAGATCTGGCAACACCGAGCGTGATGAGAAACGACAGCGTGACAACCAGGACAGTGGCAGGCGCGTTGCCAAGGCTTCTATCACCACGAAGAGGATGGCTCGGCACCGGCTGGGCGCTGCTTTGACTCACATTAATTACCGGGGTGTTTTAGACACACTACTGTCATTTTGTTGAGCGTATTGCGAGTCTACGGCAGCGACACACTTTCATATCCTGGTCGTTTTTTATCAACTCACAAATCCCCCCCCTCCCCGTCAAGGAGGAAACTGTCACCTCTGCCTCGACTGGACCTGCACCATCGAAGTGAACTGGACAGGACAATAACCACAGAGCCGTCGATTTATAATAACAAGGAGCAAAAACTACAACCATTTAAAAACGACAGGCTAACTTAGCTTAGCTGCTAGTTAGCCTCGTTTAGCTCTGAACTTTGTTGGCACGCTTCCGTCATCAACTTTGTATATCAGCCGTGTTTCCACACCGCAGATGTTTCTGGTCAAAGGTCCAGATAGATGAGATGACTGCCTGGATAGCACTGTACAGCAGATAGCATGGGAGACAATGCACTGTGTTTATGCAAAAGTTAGCTGCCTTGCAAGCCATGCTAGTTTTGAACGTGACTCACTGGTTGTCAGTGAATGTCTCGTATCGTCGGGTGTCGCCCTTCATTGAAACCCTGCTGATGACTCGTTTATGACTAAAGAGAAGACTTTGTGTTGTCTTCTTTTTCACTGCCGACGAGGAAAAAAGACTCTTTAAGACAAGACCACTCGGGTTATTTCGGTGATTATATGATGGGATCTCTGAAGGCTCTGCAGGAGTGGTGTCGGATACAATGTGAAGATTACAACGACGTGCTGATAAAGGACATGTCCTCATCCTTTCGGGACGGGTTGGCTTTTTGTGCCATCATACATCGTTACAGACCAGAGTTGATGTAAGTAACACATTTTACAAAAAATGATTGGGACACAGAAGCTGGCTGAAGTAATAATTCATCTTCAGTTAACAGACAACGTAGATGACGTTTTTGAACATGTTTGAATGTACATTTGTAATAGTAGGATAGTCCATTGAAGACATTCAGCTACATGTATCTGTTCTCTTGAATATTCCCTGATTTCAATGTCCTGTACAGCGAAATTTTCGCATTGCAAAGTTTCCCTTTGACTGCATATTATGTAGCAAGCTGTATAAGCACTTTTGAGTGTGGTATTTATAGTGATAATAGTGATAAGACAAGATAAGATAGTACTTTATTGATCCCCAGAGGGGAAATTCAGGCGTTACAGCAGCACAGACAAGAACGCTCAAATACACATTGAACAGAATAGATAAGATACGTTATTAAGTTATATAAAAGTACAAAATGAATGATGAAGTTAACTATGCAGGGAATTGAGACAGTTTGTGAAGAGAATGACAAGATAAAGTGACAAGTGATGATTAAAGTGACTGTGGCTAGTGGTAAAAACACTTTTGCGAAACCTGTCAGTCATATTACATATTTGAACTGTGTTGTGTAATTATGAGAGACATAACAGCCCTACAGATATTTTCACGATTGGGTTAAAATCCAGCGCACTGTAATTGACTAAGGCAGACAAGCCATGCCCTGTCTGTAACAACACACCCCTCCTCTGGCTTCACACCTACACATACAGCAGAGAAGCCACAAAAACAACACTGCACAAGAAATATAGAGCTGGGCAGATGATGGAAGGTTTCTAACAGACACAGAAAAAAACAATCCTCACTTTGTAACTTACATTTGATAAGTGAGATTCTGCTGACATATTTTCACATCAGTGATAGACATGGAGACTCTGACCTTCACATGACTCACATTGGGCATGCATATTTGTGAAAAAAGCGTGTCCCTTGTGGCACAATGTGGCTCTTCACAGCTCAGTTGGTAGTGCACACTATTTACAGCATCCAGTGGTTTGACTGACTCTGTTTGAAACATGTCAATCACCCTTGTTGTTGTTGTTGTTGTTGGTGGATTGTGTTACAGCATCCAGTCAATTAAATATTATATCCCTCCTTTGTCTTAGGGGAAAGAATTTGCTGTGATGAAATGATTTTAGAAAGCAAGCATCTTGCACATGCTGCCAAGCCAACCTCTCAGGTGGTCCAGACTGGTGGGCAGACTTGACAATGCTTGGAAGGTAGCATAACAAACTCTCACTGTACCAGTCACTGAAGGATAAGCCAGTGAAGTTGAATATATTTGCACAGACAACAAAACAGTAAGCTGAATGTAAGTCAGTGAACAAATCCGAAAAACCATTGTTTGTAACCCGGCCTCCTCAATTTCTTGTCCCGAATGCCTCCCTGTTCAGCCCCCTGTGATGCTGTAGTAGCCCAGCAAAAACAAGCTCTGATTCACACAGACAGTCCGTCAGGCTAATCTGCAGCGGAGACCTCCGCCTGTCAAACTGCATTTAGCTCCAGTGTTGGGCCATTGTAGTTCTGCCCTGCATACTGCAGCCAATGTATTCTCATCAAAACACAACACACTGGTACAGAGGAGAGACACTGGTACAGAGGAGAGACACTGGTACAGCAAACTGTCTGATCTGTGTTTAAGCAAAGACTCTACTGCCACTCAAACATGTAGCCAGAGTAGATATATTGCTAAAAGAACTCATCAAAGGCCATGTTGAGCAAGTTGCATTGGATAGTGCATTCAATGCTGTATTTAAATTAAGTTCTGTTAATGCAGCTCCTGGTCAAACTCGATCTTCAAATCATTTACTTGTTCTACATCCTACTTTGTCTATGTCCTCTCTATGTTCACATGTGTTACCATAATGCGCCTGGTATATGTCACCTACTTACAAACTGTTATGCACGTCAAGCTGTATTTTTCTATTTGTCACACCCAAATCCCAATCCTACTTTTCCCTCTGACTGAGCCAGATTTGGCAGCTATACTGGCTCACCCAGGTTTTAATCATGTGGATTAAAAATGCCTGACAAGCAGGGCACGGACACACACACACAGTTCCTCAGCAGTCTGCTTTCCCAAAATAAACCTGGGAGTGAGACTGAGTCCCAGTGGATTAGGTTCACGATTCAGATCACACATGGCAGCTCGTCATCCGTGTCGGTGTTTGATGGCACTGTCTCTTCTGTCAGTATCAATACTTGGTTTGAACTCCCAACAGTTTGGTGTCAGTTCTGTAAGTAGTTGCATTTCAATCTGGCTCTGTTAGTTTATGTGACAGAGCAGGCTTGTTGTGACATGATCTTGACATTGTAGCTGCTGCTCTCTGTGTTTGTGACCATGGGAACTAGATTAGAGAGAACAGAGGTCACTTTGTGTTGCTCCAACACCAAACTCATTTATAGGATTTTGCCTTCTTGAGACTTCCACATGGTCTACTCAAGCTCTCACTGGGGCCATAGTACTTTTTCAGCACACTGTTGCTGCTACTACACACTTTGTCCATGAACTTGAGCACACAACCACACTTTCCTTCCCAGAACACCTCAGATACTTCACAGTTTTACTGCAGGATGTTTACCGGTGAGAGGCCTGGCTTCGGTTCTTCGCTCAAGGCTTTAAAAAGCAGGGCCTTGTAATTATCAGGCCATCTCGCCTGTTTGATGCAGAACCTTGTTTCCCTTTGTCCTTGCAGTTTTGCACAACAGGCGTCATTTGTGGCTGGTTTGAGACGCTTTGCAAGCTTTGCAAGCTTTGCTGCTCACCGTTACTGCCTCTCATGGTGTCAAGCCAGTAATAGCTTCTTGATGGTTCATAACATATGTGGAGACGGATCAGCAGGCTAAATACAGTGCCAGCCTGTGTCAGCATGACTTAGACAGTAACTTCTTTGTAGTCTTCTACAGGAGTTCCAATATATGAAATGAAATAACAAGATTTGCAGTTGGTGTAGGCTGTTGAAATACACACTGTGTACTATATGAAACCCTTATCTCAAATGTTTCGATTTTTGACCCTGTTTTCTGTCTTTTCATTCCAGAGACTTCTGTTCGTTGTCTAAAGAGAATGTTTACGAGAACAACCGACTGGTGAGTCAATTTGAGATCTCTATATTTTGAAGATTTAACATGTTTTTTTTTATTTTTATGTAACACTTTGCTCTGTGAGGTAGGGTTACATCACCTCATGAACAGCTTAAACCTAGCACTTAGTGACAGGCATAGCATCTGTTTCTGAATGTTCTCCTTTTAACCATAAACGTATTAAGCCTAAAGATTGCATGCAGTCATGCTGGGTGAGTCTTTGATGTATTTGACTGTCAGTGTGGAGAGAAGCACTGTTGGAGCCTGATGAGGGTAAGACACAAACGGAACAAGCCAAAGCATTCTGGGTAATGAAAAAAAAACCTTGACATAAGCCTGTGGAGGGACCATGTTAAGAGGATTTTAAGTGCAACAGTGCTGATTTTTCAGTTTATAAATCAGAGGATTGGAACCAATGAAGAACATTTTTTTCCCTTATTTCCCGTTTGGGGTTTTTGAAAATCATCTTAAAGTTTAAAGAATGTTGAAGGATGAAAAAGGAGTCACCACATTTTCAGTCTGAGCCAAGCTTTGGCAGCA